TCTCTCATCTCTCATCTATCTATCTGGCTTGTCACACAAAGAGCCTAATAGCACAATAAGAAAAACTTTCAAATTAGTACTATGTCACCAATTTCTGCTTTTCTGTTTGAAGGAACTTTTTAACTTAAGGTGCACCCTACCATATGACACGTCTCACCTAAAAGTCTTGAAAGTGAGGTTTGTGTTAAATTCATATTTGCAAATGGAATGACCAAAATTTGAGTTTTTGTAGGAAGTGGCCAGGCTGAGCTGAGGTCAGGGTCAAACACGTCATTAGTTTGGAGTCTGCAAGGCGGCTGAGTCCAGCCCTTGGTGAATTCTATTGACTCTTATCTAGCCCCAATTTGCCTTGACCATTAGTAGATAAGATTCTTGTACATAGGCAGCATGAAACAAACTCGTAGCACTTTTGAACTCTATCCCTGCTCTTATTTTTATTTTTTTTGCACCAGACAGTTTGACATTTTTATGCTTCTGTTGTAGTTCCCCAAACAAGGTCAACAGTGGCTAATGCTTGGATTGAAGGACTAGCAGATAACACCAGAGCTCTAAGCAAAATTAAGAACTTGAAAATGAAAAGAGACAAGAAAAGAACCAGTTCTATACTCTCAACCTGAACTTATCTACAGAGCCAGCAAGACTTGAGTTCAGCTTTCCCCTAAAAATAGGCAAAACTCATGTGATGATATTGAATGGCAAAAGAAGTTTTAAATAAGGTATTTTTCTCTCTCTCTCCAATTCCCTCCTTTCCACTTTCCTGGGATCGAAACTTGAAGAAAATTAATCCTCTCTTTATTCACAACGAATAGCGTTCTGCTTTGCCTTCCCTCTAATCACAGCAATCTTGAGTTCCATACTCATGGCATGATCCTAAATCAATAGTGCTAAAACATTCGGGGCCAGATTATTTCACCCTGGTTGATTTTTTCCTCCCCCTCTCCTGTCAGCAAACGTGGTTAAAAATAATATTTTTTTTTGCACGGAGAGAGCGCAAGGTATATAGTCTCTGCTCTCTCTTGAACCTTCCCAGAGTTTGACAGATTTATGGAAGGACAGATGGCCATTACAGGTTGAAAGCTGACAAGAGGCAGCATTGAGAGCATTGTTAACACACTTACACAAACTCTGAGCTTTGCAGCGCTGCACCGCATGTAATTCTGACGATTGCTTTTTTATTGCCGCCTATTTTCCTTTTTTTGTCAAATGGGCCTGGTGTGTGCAGGAACAAATGGCTCCTATTACCCAGAATGTAATGGGTGTCAAGACAAATCACGTAAAGCAAACAATCAAGAATATATAGGTCATATTTCAACAGGGCACAGACCTTAGCAATATTTATGATTGCTGCATTGAAATGTGCTCTCTAATAAAACAAGGACCCTCTACATCACACCGCACCGTATTTTGGCATGGCAAACTTGGAAGGGGATACATCCGCTGGGCTAATTTGTGCTTTCAGATCTGAGATTTTTCGTTATTACGATGGTTTTTTTTTTTTTTCATTTTCTGAAGGAAGGAGAATAGAACGTGTCCCAGGATCCAATCTAGGTTGGTTAGCTGCACCAGAGGTTTTGTTTTTCAAGCTTTTGGACTCGTGCAGGTGTCCATCTTCAGCGAACTTCTCTCTAGCAAAGTGGGTGCTTTTGGGGTACTCTGTGTGTAGTATACTTTGGTGGTGTCTAGTTGTGTGTGGCTTTTTAATTGTTGATGGGGGGGTGGTTGATGGGCAGTGGTATTTTTTGTTGGTATTTATTTATTCTTTATTCTTTATTTATTTATTGGTATTTATTTGTTGTGTATGGTATTTATTTGTTCTGCAACCCAACAGGACAGACACAGACTTCAAAGTGTAATTAGGACTGCAGAAAAAAACAAC